AATAGAAGAAAATATCAACGTTGACAGAGAAAAATTTATAACGTTTAATAAACCTCCTAAATACGTGATAATAGAACTCTTGAATCACAGACCAAGCACGTATGATGGCCTTCCGATAAATAATGTACCAGTTTACCCTGTCAAACGAAAATGTAAATTCACACATAGAATAAAAAACGGATCAAACATAACACGAGAATTCCAGAGAACTCAATTGCCTATCACTCCAGCATTCGCCCTCACAGAATTCAAGTGTCAAGGTACTACACTGGAAAAAGTAATTGTTGATTTGGATGGTGGGAGAATTGGAGCTGGTATCTATGTAATGTTGTCTCAAGTACAAAAACTAGAAGATATTATGATACTTCGTCACTTTGACCAAACTAAACTTTGTGTTATGATCGACCCCGACCTCAAAAAAGAACTTGAACGTTTTGAAGAGTGCTCGAGGATAACTGAAAAATTACTTATATAACGTAAATCAAAACAATGTACAACAAATAAAACTACTCTGTTATTACATTACTCAATTAATTTGTACACGAAATAAATTTGCTTTTCAAATAGTAAACCATTATAAATACCAAAAAAAAAAAAAAAAGAACAATAAATTTAAGCATGTTGCATAAATCAAAACATGAAAAACAATAATAAATCTTTGTTAAAATTAGCTGTATAACATAACCAACTGTCAAAAACACAAGCAATATACGTTGTAGTCAAGTATACTAAAATATCATTAGTAAATTTAAGTAAAACGCGAATATTAACTAGATATTTAAGATCACTTAATTTTACTTAACTAAATATCACGAGCGAAAAATAACTTTATTAAACAACAAAACTATATACAAATATTTGTATGTATAATAAAAAAAAAATAATACAAGCTCAAAAAAAGAAAGCTCCGCAAATTATCGATATTTACACTTTCGAATATCTCATTTCGCCTTCTTAAACTCTCTTCCATCCAAGTTATTATTTACACCTTTGAGCATTTCAGTACATTTTCTTGTATTATGAACAACAAAAGAATTTGTTTTCCCTTTAATCACTTTTTCACAAATGCTTCCTGATTTTTTACTTTCATTAACAACATCTTCTTTGCATTCATCCTCAATGTAATCAGAATCAATATGATTAGGATCTTCATCCTCAACC